TGACACTTTTGTGGTTAGAGCTTTTCACTTCAAATCTGCTATTTTAGATAGGGTACACCATCCAGTTATTACAAGCATTCTTATTTGCTTGTATAATCGTTTCAGCCCATGGGGTGAGTGTTGTTTTAGTTTCAGCTAAAAAAATAGACATATTTTTTCATAAAATTATTACTACACGAGTTACGAAAATACTCAATCAACAATGTATATAAAATATTAGTACCTGCAACATTACGTTTCTGAAAACTCCATTGTTGCATTGTTGCACGAAAATACTCAATCAACATCAATATTGGCATCTTTCTTGCAAATCGTGACATTGAATTTATCGACTCCGTACTATTTGATGTCATAAGAAAATACCGATTCCCGGGAAAATGTGCCCTGGCCCATCTTTTTGGATTGATGTTTTGTAGGTATTCCCATACACGAATATTTACATTTTTTTATTTTTTTCATCCCATTATCGAATTTTTTAATGGTATAGGCTTTGCATGTCTCCCAAAAAATTGTGTGCATTGTATCGCTGCTTCCAAATTTTGCTGAAATGTTGAAATACAAATGGATACCACATATTCCATGATAGGCATGAGGAAATATATTTGCAATTGACGTCGCTATGGATGGAGCCCTATCAGATATGATTGTAAGGTCTTCCAAGTTGCCTATACATTCACGTAGCTTTCGAAGGAACCAGGACCACGTCTCCGTACATTCACTTTTGCAAATGGCATAAGCAACAGGCATGATTTGGTTTTGACCGTCCATTGTCACTGCGAGCAACATCGTGCCTTTGAATTCACCCTTTAGGTGACCACCATCAATTATTAGGGTCGGCCTACAATACTTGATGAACGCTCGTACCTACAATTATTTTTCATTGCATTAACAAATACCAATTAGGATTCATATGTTATATTTTTTATAAAAATTAACACTGCTTACCGAGCAACCCAACGCGATAAACACGAACTCAAACCGATCATCATCGTCTACTCTTATCTGAGTAACAGTTCCTGGATTGTGCTTGACCAAGTTGTGCAGATACGCTGGTAGTTTGGTGAATGAATCCTCTTTGGTACCTCTTAACATCAACAACGCATACTGTTTTGCACGCCATGCCTGTTGGTATGAGATATTGATTGGAAATTTCGAATTGATATCCCTAACAATTTCATTGCCCCGATAAACTCTATTATAGTCTCCGACCAATACTTCAGCGATAAAGTGGCCGAGTACCTTTTTCTTTGATTGTCGATGATTAGACTCCAAATTTGTTGCACAACATGTGTGTTGGTCAACAACTTTTGTGACTTGGAAAGCAGTAGTCGATTGGATTCCCCTTGCCCTAACCATCCATGAACAATTTTTAACCAAATAAACAACCTCGAACCTTCCTTTGCTCGATCTGGTAGTCTTATACTGCTTACCTTGTTTCATGCATTGTCTTCCGATTGCAAGCTTGAGCAACTCTTTGTCATAAAAAATGTCTAAAACCTTAATCTCTTCACTTATATCCACCCTCTGACATGGAATGTTCACATCAGCGTTTACAGGACACGAAGGCAAAGGGGGCATACCATGAAACATGGTATCTGAATAAATAATCTTAGATTCGTCATCTAATTCTTCTTCGTTAGAATCACTATCTAGGCCGGATATATCCAACTTGTCACAATCCGCAAACTCGCCATATCCTTTTAGTTCATCATCATGCAAAAAACGGAACTTCCTGTTTTCCATATTCATTACCAACCTTATTCACCACGGCTACTGCTTTTTTTTTGTCAAATGAATCATTTACACCAACATCATTAACATATGCACCAACATTATTATCACCGATATACTTATAATTCTCCGGTGTAACATACATAATCGGTTCTGGCACTACATTTACATTTTCAGCAACACTATGATATTGACTTTTACTTGGACTTTTAAAATTACCTATTGGGTTGTTGCTCCCTTTTCCACTTGATAAATTTGCTGCAGATGCCTTTCCTCTATCATCCATTTCGTTCGGCCAAACGCCTTCTTCAACCACCACATACACAGACACATATTTATCTCCAACGCCATTTGTTACCTTCATCAGCTTTCTAATATCACGATCATCAACAATACCACAATAATAGAGTTGTTCTGGATGTTGATAGGCCAAACTAACTTTTGATTCTTCGGGAAGACCCATCTTGCACTTGATCAACTAAACAAATTCGGTGAACGTTTTGTTTTCGTAAAATTCAACACCTAAATAAAACATTCTCGGATTGTATCCCAGTGGCCAAACATATGATAATTGAGAATTAACAAACTCTCATCTTCCATCCGTAATGAGCAATACAAAGTACTTGTTACAACTCATTATCTTAATTTTGAGGATAAAGAAGCTAGAGAGAATAAACTTTCCAAAAATATAAAATACTTAATATATATAAGATAGGTTAAAAACAGTAGTCAACTCTGACGAAAAAGTAGTCAAGTTTAACAAAAAAGT